TAATAAAAATGCGTTGGAAAGATAAGTTAGGCATAAAGCACTAACTTTGTTGAGGTTTGGCTAAATTTGAGAAATCGGCAAATGTCAAATTTTCGAAAAACTGTAAAAAAACTAAATTTGTACTAGAGAGCTAAAAATTGGTATATGGGTAAAAAATGAAAAAACAATCATCTTTTCTCTTTACCGATTTTCGAAATTTCGAGCAATAACTGCTTTTCTGAACATTTTGACAGGGAAGAAAAATCACTTGATCGGTCGTATGCATGTCATTTGGCATCATTTTTAAAGCACAACCTAATGGAGATATCAAAAGTTGCTTGAAGAGATGAACAAAAAAAATCCCATTTGATGCGACTTTATGTGTGACACTGTATATGGAGAGCCAATAGAAATTAGAAAATAGAAAAACACAGAGATAATTGCAGTAGAAAAGAGGAGGCAATGAACATTATTAAAATCTGGCTACCTGTCATTAATTGTACACAACCAAACCACGGTCACGAATAATAATATAAACCCGGAGGCAAATAGCAGCATTGTAGTTTCTGCGTTTGGAACAACGGGAACAACAACTCGAGCACTTCTACCGTTACCACATCGCCTTCGATAATGTCTACCGCAGTAGTAGCCGAAACGTCAGGCATAAAAACCTGGAGACCACTGTCAAAGAACCCAGAAAATAGCTTTAACATAAGTGCATGTATCGTATGTTGGTCAAACAAGGCAAGGAAAGATGATTCGGTTTGAAAAGCATATGGTTCCCAAGTTCATCTTGACTGGTTATCAAACGAAGTTGGAAATGTTTCTAGTGGTGGAGAGATTATGGTTTGGTTTGAAACGAATTTAATTGACCCCTTCCACTCAATCTACGTACTGAAATATTGATAAAGAACTAAAACTAATGGATATCTTAGTCTATATGATTTTTGGGAAATATCACGATCTAAGAATTTACTACTATACATAGGAATTATGTTTCAGGTAGATCTAGAAGGGTCATACCATTCTTCCACAAGCTATTGATTGAACCTGATCCTAATTTCATTCCCTTAAACTTACTTTAAAATAGTAACTTGTTATATTTTGAAACATTCAACAACTTATTGAAAAATTGTCTAAGATTTTATTGATGACACTTTCGTTTTGTAAGCAATAACAGGGTGATACAACATTTTACAACCCTCTCACGACTCCATAGTTTCTCAGCACAAAAAGTTTATTTTTCGTTACAAATAATTTCACAACTCTCTTTCCACTTTCGTAAGTGAAAACTTACATCAAAAACGAAACTGTACAGACAATTANTCCTTTTAACCCACAAACTCATCGAAGCAGAAAGCTTTATTTTTATTATAACCATCTTAAATAGGAAAATGTTTGATACTCAATAACATTGAACTGAGAGTGCGGGAATAATTTGAAATATCAGTTATCATCAATAAAACGTATAATGTTTTATTCATCAGCACTTCACAAGAAACAAATAAAATTGCAAATGGTGATGATTCATTCGATTTTGATTAATACATTAATTTTTAATCGCTGTAATGATAAAATCAGCGGAGGTGGGACAGGAAGTGAAAGTCATTATTGATTTTTTTTTAATTAGATGATTATGAATGAAATTATATTTTGTTTTGACCCTCAAAGATAAGTTTTATGTAGCTGACAAGTACAACACTTGAGATTAGAACCATGAAAATAGTCAAACAAATGTTTAATTGATAAAGTAAAGTGATGCATTATCATAATTAACCGATAATATAGTAGTGGTGAATTTGTCAAGACTAACTGAAATATATCAATTAAACCGCAATAATCAATTATCATTTGTATCAATATTCTCACCTTCCACTCTCTGAACTCTGATTGTTCCTAAAGTTCTGCCTTGGGCTTCGGTTCTTGTTGAAGAGCGACTCGGTCGAGTCCAGTGGATCCGGGCCCGGATCAAAGTTCACGTCGGGAACTCCGGGCTTCGTCGACCGCTTCTTCTTGACTCCGGGGCCGTACCTGGAGTCGTAGTCCGGCATGTCGAACTCCCCGTACATTCGTTTCATCAGCGCTTTGTTTTCGTCGATGAACAGTTCTATCCGATCTCTGAAAAAAAAACGTTTCACGAGGTTCCTGAATAATTTTCAAATATAATAATACGACGTGTGGCTAGAAAATAAAGGACTTGGTGCTTGCCTCTCGGTCAACGCCATTTTGCCGAGTCGTTTGACATCCCCCCTCTACATTTCAGCCGGTTGAACGACACTAGCTTGCTCAGTTTGGCTACAGACTGTTCCTATGTGCCGTTCGTCGGAAAAATGGTAGGCGTTTCAATTGAGCAAGGTTTCAAGGTGAAATTTTTAGTTGAACCCGGTAAATCCTCAAAAGAGACCTATTTTCTTCCACAACAAGCGTATGGGGATGAATATATGTCTCGCAAACGGGTTTTTGAGTGGTATAAACGTTCCAAAGAAGGTAAGAAGACGTTGAACTTTGAAATGGAAGAATACGTCAAAAACATTGAGTGCCTGCAGGACAACCAATGAATGATCTAGAGGTGGCAGTGATCTAGCAATATGATTGTTAAGTTAGATCAAACTCCATGTGACTTTTTTGTTCCCGAAAGTGAAGACTGGAAAGTGGAAACTGTGAAGAAAAAAGCGACGGTGACTGTGAATATGCTTTTAGAAAATGACTAAAGTCACTGTGTTGAACAGTGAAAAATTATAATATAAAAGTGTAGGGACAATGAATCGGATTCTGTAGAAGGAAATGAGGTTGATGTTGCAAGGAAAAAAATAGTTATCAAAAAGTCCTGTTTCCAGATGAACCGAATGATAAATAATCGTTAATAATCTCAAGAAAAACTAAAGCATTCAATAGGGATAAAAATGAAATGGTAATTAAATTATTGAATAATTTATTCGAATACTAATTCAGCAATCAAGCAAGTGTACAGCGCATATTAATAATTACATTATAATAACAATAAAACAAAAAAGTGTATCATGGAGTTCGATATTTCAATCAGGAGGACGAAAGAAGTAGACTTTGATCAGTATTTTGTCGTTTTATTAATTTATTTTCAACTTTTATGGAAGATTATTATATATTCTGATGCTTATATGAAATATTGATTTCTCTCCAAATTTTGAGCAAGTTTAAAAGTTTTGATATGGCTGAAGAAACTGCTAATGTGTGCCCCTACACTTCACCTAAAAAAATCCTATACCAAGCCGCATATTATTAAAATAAATGAATTTCGGTCGTTCCTTATTGCGGCTCTGTACACGCAGCCTTGTCTGGGAGATCGCGTGCACTATGCATGTTTTGGAGTACTCTTTCGCTTAGATGTACAGAGTATATTAGTTGTTTACTTTATCTGGTATTGACCGTGGGTGGTATTTATTTGACTGAAGTTCAAAGTTGTTTACAGTGATTTATAACAGAATCAATGAAAAAAATAATTTTTAATTGAAAAATGTATCGAATAATCAAAAAATCACGTGGTGTATGAAAATTTGACGTAGGTTTAAGATAACGTAGATGATTTAGTCAAGTCTCTACGAAGATTATATAGACAAGTAAAAATTTAAGTTTTAGCAGCCATCTTTTGAATGTATTCGTCGTTTTGGGCTTCAAGAAAGGCGTCTGTAGAAATTTCTTTTTCGAGCACATTCTTTTTTTGTTCTAGACTGAAGTTTTTCTTGTATTCATTCTAATTATTATTATCTTATTGTATGGACCACAGAACAAACGTTTTTTCTTTAATATACTTAGGATCTAATACCACACAGGCGCTATTTCGAACCACCAGGGTCTCATCAGTGTTACTATTAGGCTGCACCACTCAATTGTCCTAAAAAGGACAAGTCTGAAAAAAAGGTGATGCCGTCTATGGGATCTATCGCAGAAGACTCAATTTCTCAATGTCAAAGATATTAGTTTGGCGTTGACGATAGCAACATATTGCGGCAAAGGTTTAACACTATTAATAGTTATATATTTGTAGTATTTACATATGGAAGATACGATTTACGATAGAAGAAGAAGCAAATAATGTGAAACATATTCCTTTTCCTGCCATTCTTACATCTGCTCGAACGAAATTCTGAATACTTGTTTGCTTATCGTTATCTAGATATTGTAAATGAATAATATCAGCAAGCATTTAACTGAAAATGATCAAATTTTATAGACTCTGGCTGAAAAAAGTCAGTACAGTTATCAGGTGATACCATAGAACTCTGGGTGACATTTCACCATACCTTGCCACTTGTCAGCTGTCAGCTGTCACTCGTAATTTCACGCCATGTCAGCATAGGCCATAAAAAATGAAAAGAAGAAGCCATTTAGCATTTGTTAGTTATCATTCTGCATTTGACTCTTGCCACTTAGATCGTTAGTAGACACAAAATATTCGTAAATTTAAGAATGTATGATTTCACGGCTGGCGTCAATATTTTGGTTGGTTTCCGGGTTTCGCCGTGGTCTTCATGGTATCAGTTGATGCGTCAAGAAGAGTACTTCGACCACGTCACTGAAGATGACTGCCGCAGCTGCAGTTGAATCGTTTTGAGATTGTAACCAAAGAAAACCACAGCAAAATCAGAATACCAACCAAAACATATCTGTTAATTGTCCTGTTTTCCCTTCAGCTCAAAATAAATTTGCCTTCGGTGGTTGAGACCCCATACAGTAGGTTGCAATTAAGTCTCTTCATATCAACGACTAATTTCTTTGGTTAATGAATACCTAGTTCAACTCACTTTGGATAGGAAGTTCCAGCCGTTGGACAGTAAAGTTGTTGGTTCTTGATTATACAAGGAACTCCCCTGATGTATTCGCCTCTTATTTCTACACCTAAAGCTATCGATAACGCTGTCCATAGTATCTGAAATAAAATGTTTCACATAAATATTACTACTCGAGGGGACAAATGCTAATGAATTGAAGATTCTTGATAAAAGTGAATTATTTTGTTCTCTTCTACGATGATGCCAAACCACGACTATTAAAAATAAACGAGGCTCCAGAAGGCGGTCAGTTACAAAGCCATGCTTTTTTAACTCAAGGCATCTAGATGACACCAAAGCCCAAAAGCAAAACACTCATGAATCAATATAGGACAACGTTGTTTAGATCTGCCATATGTCTTATCAGTGGTGCTAGAGCAGTGCCGGAGGACAGTGGGACGCGCATGGGGTTAAGATTAGTGTTTCCACCCAAAATTTCGAAGTACACCTAGAGATTTTAAGTTCTCTGTAAAGATTTCTGTAGAGATTTAAAGTTTAATGTAAAGTAAAGACATGCTTGAAGAAGCTATTGTATAGCGAAACGCATGTTGCGTTTGTGTAAAACTGTTTAGTAAATATCTCACAATAAAGTGTTTTTTAAATAAATACTGTACTTATTGCATTTGTCCTCTTTTTCAGTATGAATTCATTTTATTTCTGAGTTAATGGTACCCTGAGGAACACCCCAACTTGACATTTCGACAGAGTTATGTCGAAAAAAGTAACATTCGACAAGAATCGTAACTTTTGCGTAAGTTGCATACAAAGGGAAGCATTTCTTGCCAAGGCATTGGCAATACTAGCTGATTTATCTTCAAAAGTGACAGTTGACGTATCAAAACGCCAACTCGCGAGACGTGTGAAAAGCTCTTTGGATACTATAACTCTCAGTTATGAAATGTCAACTGCCAATTTTGATGTGTTAGGGCCGGTTTATCAATTGCCAACTAACCTCATTTGACTAACAGTTTTGTCTTAGCTCCTAGTCAAACTGTTTTTCGTTATCATGTTACCATCAACTGGTAGCTGAAGTCTCAGTGACCGTAACAGTCGGTAGAAAGTGATAGTTTTTTATTTAAGCTGGCAGTTATGTCACAGAATATCAGTTCCGATATTCTGTGGTTATGAGGTTGCGCATGCGAAATTAGGTTATTTATGTTTTTTGTGATACAAATGTTAGTTGAAAAATACTAATTGTTCAATTATGGAAGTTTTCCATTTGTTAAATGACGAAGGTGAGGATATAGTGGAGTTCATTGAAGCACAAAGAAGACCTNTTGTTTGCGCTCCCGTCTGATTTTTATCGAAACATGTTAGTCGATTATTTTTTAATTGGCGATCGTATCTGATCTACTACTAATGACAAAAGAATGTTTCGATGTGTCGGGAAACAAAAACTACGATCTTTAAATGTAAATGATCTAGTTTATTTTCCTCTCGCGTGGGTCGTTTTCGACAAAACACGACGTGACATGCAAATGGTCAACCTCCACTCATATCTGCCGTAAATTATAATCTTCGAAGATATTTTCAACCAGTCAGATGGTTGGTTATTCTTTAGTTAGTTGATTGTGAAATAGCATCGGTGGAAAATGTAAGCAATAGTGGCTTCACGGAGGAACCTTGGGACACTCCAGAGGGTTATTAGCTTGATGAGTAGAATTTGGAACCTCTGTTGTGGAATGAATGAAAAATTATCAGACGAAAGCAATCAATGTCAAACAGAAACTTTACCTTCTTCTTCCGACTGCAACAAAAGCCATTTAAATATAGCAAGTATTCCAAACAAATTGAATCCCTGCAATATCAGCAATTGCTCTAATCTATACTTACAAATGCGATAGTCATTTACTTAACACTCACACATTCATCTCTGTTTATCCGTACTGGTAAGTACTAGGAACCTAAAATTTAGTATATAGGTGCTCCTTAGGTCTTAAATGGGCACTAAGAAAGGATTTTTAAATATTACAACTGGGGATCCCCTCGTGGGGATGAAAGAGAAGCGTTTACATATGAAAACTACCTTTTCATCACTGTTTCTCTGTATCGCTATATTTATATTTTTGTATGTAGGTTCGTTTTATGTTGTAGATGTGCGATAAGGAAGTATTTTTGAATATTTCAGCTGGGGCGCCCCTCTGGAGATAAAGAGGAAGCGTTTACACATTAAAATTACCTTTTCATCACTGTGTCTCTGTGTCACTATATTTTAGGAGCCTGAAATTTTGTAAGCAGGTTCGTTTTAGGTTGTAAATGTACAATAAGGAAGGATTTCCAAGTATTTCTATTGGGGCGCCCCCTAAAGATAAAGGGGAAGCGTTCACGTATGAAAATTACCATTTCATCACTGGGTCTTTGTGCCGCTATATTTTAGGAACCTGAAATTTTGTACGTAGGTTAGTTTTAGGCTGTAGATGTGCAATGAGGAAGGATTTCCAAGTATTTCTATTGGGGCGCCCCCTAGAGATAAAGGGGAAGCGTTCACGTATGAAAATTACCATTTCATCACTGTGTCTTTGTGCCGCTATATTTTAGGAACCTGAAATTTTGTACGTAGGTTCGTTTTAGGCTGTAGATGTGCAATGAGGAAGGATTTCCAAGTATTTCTATTGGGGCGCCCCCTAGAGATAAAGGGGAAGCGTTCACGTATGAAAATTACCATTTCATCACTGTGTCTTTGTGCCGCTATATTTTAGGAACCTGAAATTTTGTACGTAGGTTCGTTTTAGGCTGTAGATGTGCAATGAGGAAGGATTTCCAAGTATTTCTATTGGGGCGCCCCCTA